ATAGCATTTACTTCTCCTTGAATGTAATGGTTCACTTTCTTTCAATATATATATATATATATATATATATATATATATATATATATATATATATTGTTTATATATATATTGTTTATATATATATATTGTTAATATATATATTAACTCTTTTAAATTGATAACTCTCGAAATGGTGAGCAAAGAATGGAGGGGATTTTTAGAGGGTGAGTGTCCAAAATGGAAAATAGAGGTGTGAAGAAGCATTGTCAGGGAGACACAGATGACTCCTATTACTACCTTTTTCTTTTCTTTTTTTGGCAGTAAGTCCTTCCATAGAAACTATCTCATTCAATATTTTAGGTTTCCTGGGAATATCTGATTGCATTTAGTTTAAGAAGTTCTAATTTCACATAGTCTTGGGCAGGACCATTACTTTATTTAGGATCTAGAAGAATTATGCTCAAAATTAAAAACAGCACAATCCAGCAAAGCTGAACAAAACTTGTGCTCTCGCCACCCCCATAGCTACCTAAGACAGGCAAAGATATTTAGAACATTAGCTTTTCAGTTGTCAATAGTTTTAGGTGTGTGATGAGTAAATGGAATTGCCTTACATCTTTTCATGGAAGAACTGTCAAGAAGAGTTTGTCTTTTTTGCCTCCACCCCCAAATGTGGACTCTTTCAGAATCCATTAAAGAGGAAATCAACAGTTGACTTTCAGTCATAAGGCAGAGCCTTGCAACCATTTGCAGTATATTGATGTCAAAAATATCTCTCTGCCAAGTTCTAAAATGCACCTTCAAAAACGACTGAAAATATCCAAGAACTTAGTGATGAGCTACAAATGGAGTTTGGTATTGATAAATACAAGTCAATAGGTATGGTGAAAGGACAACTTACGGTGATAAATGGGCCCACCATCAGTAAATATCAACTTATTGACTATCTAAGGCAAGGGGCGGAAAAAAACTGCCTATAGCTAGCTTCTACAGGTGAGAAGAATTAGTCACAACAGCAACTGGGGAAAAGCTCAAAGAGAAACGTAAGAAGAATTTGATAAAAAAGACCCACCCCAGTAGCCGGGAATATTATGTTAACAAAGGTATTTGTGGCACTTGAACCAGGTGTTTCTTTGGTGGTCCTCACCCTGCACCCTTTTCTTCTGTTTGCAGTGAGTGTTCTTTGGGGACTCAAAGAGGTCTCGTTCAAATGCCACCTCGATCCCATCGTTCTGCAGAAGCTGACTGCACTCCCAGAAATCACCTCGCTCTGCAAAGGGTATAGCTAATCCTGCTGTGAGCGCCTTCCCCGGGACCTCAACTAGATCACAAGTTGTATGAGGGCACATGAAAAGCGTCTTCTTCTTTTTTTAATCCCTTACACAGTCTATCTCCAAGTTCTAGCCCTAATAAGCCCTCGATCAATAGTGGTTGATTTCATCATTTTGGAAATGATTCATTAGAGAAGCCTGGGTCACCCATCATGTCAGAGTTTAATGATGAAACGTCACAGGAAACACCCAGAAGAACAATTGCAAGGATTAGCCTATCAGACAGGGAGGGGAAAAAAAGTGGACTGGCAGTAATTAACCTTTCCGCTGTCTTATTCCCAATTGGCGGAATGTAGGGGTTTCTTCTACAGTCCGTTTAATTGGATGTCCTATAGACTACCCAGTAAAAATGACAGCTCTTATACAATTAGGAAGTTAAAATATAACTAAGCAAATATCTAAACGAACTAAACAAAATACCTAAAGAACGACCTCCCTCCAAACACCCACGAATCATTGTCTCCTCAAAGTGGAGACAATAACAGAAAAACTTCCTCTTCCCTACTACCTTCAGTTGAAAGATGATGTGCCTAAAATTATATACAACTTCCTGAAGAAGATTGGGATAGTTTGGGGCTTATTGCCAGGAAAAATGGCTGCAGGTATTAACTTTGTAGTTCTAATTCTATGTCCTCATCCTTCAGGCCCCTGAATCTGGATGAAGTTCTTGTAGGTGTTGCAGCTTGATAAATATTTGTAGGAGAAATGAATAAATGGATGAAAGAAGTTTAATTAAAACCTGGATGGCACGGGTTATGAATGCATTTGCCCAAACGCTGTTAAATTGAAATTTAGCTGTCTAATTACCTATTTTAAAAAGCCATGTAAACATTACAGGAAATTAATAAGGCATATAGAGATAAGAAGTATTAAACTAGGTCAGGAAATCTTGACCAATATTTTACACAATTTTAATGCATTTAACTAACCTACTTAAACATTTCACAAAAATCTATGGACTCAAAATAATCTTATGTATGCTCTAAACTGAGGAAATTCAATTAGAGCCAGCTACATCAATAACTCCTTAGACTGTACAATTCAAAAGGGCCTGCGTTTTGTGTCTGTATAGTTTTCTGCCTTCTAAATCACAGACTTATCACACATTATTTTAAAACGATGCTTGTTTGGTCTGAATTGGCTCTAAGCAAGCAATCAAACCGATAGAGTAAAAACATCCTTCAAATCACACACCCGGAATTTGTTTTCCCTTCCTTAATTCTGCATATCTTTAGAATTTACCTTCAGCCCAGCCACTGGTTACAGGAAAAGCTCACTGAGCTGAATGAAATGGTCCCAATCTCCACATTATTTTCAAGAAAATACCAAGGTGCAAATAAAAAGTTAGATTCTTCCATTTAGAGCAGGAACTTTGTGCATACTTGTACCAGAGCTTGTTCCCAAACAATAGTAATATTGTACATGAGGAATGGAATCTAACTATTCTCTAGGATCACATATTCATAGCACAGCCGGGGTTGGTGAAATTCTCTGAAGCGATTGTTTGGACCCAGAATTCTTTTTACTGGTCTCCTTAAAAGGGTGTAAATGGCCTCAGGTTATGATGACCCAAGGCTTTGGAGCTTGGTTTTCTTTGTTCCACGGAACAGAATGAAGTCTCACAGTCTCTAAGTGCCTAACTTTGCTCTCTTGTTTCCTAACGAATATTGAGTGTCAATGAGCCGGCCCATATTCCCCTGTGCTAACACACTTATTATTTCACGTCTGATTTATATACACAACTTATTTCACTTATGTTTTATAATACTATGTGTATGTTGTTAAGATAGGAAGGGTCAATGGTAGAATTACCACACCAAATTCTAACAGAGAGACTTTCTTGTACTCCCTAGTATATGAGGGGGTACCCCCAAAAAACAAAAACAAAAAAAGCTCTGCTGGGTGGAGCTTTCGTAGTACATATTTTTCCTCCTAGGTGAACATCCTGCAACTCACTCTGAGTTAGTGCACCCAGTGGCGTCTCTTGGGAAGGTTCTCTCTGGTCACAGTGAATTTTTTCATAAAAGCAGTTTTGCTCAAGTCTTGTTTTTTTGTGATGGCAATAGCATGGGGTATTGAAGTTTTGTTTCCTGCCTGGGAAAAATACTGCAGAAGCTGTTGTGATGTTGAACAAGGACAGCTCTATGGGGAAAACTCAAGTATATGAGTGGTTTTCTTATTTCAAAAAGGTGAGATGTTGATTGATGACAAACCTTGTTCTTGTTCTGGACGTCCGTCAACTTCCGGAACAGATGAAAATGTCGACTCAGATTGTTAACCGGCTTTCTATTTAGAGGTTCTGAAAAGATTGCATAACAGTGTACAACTAAAAAAGGCCTGATTTGTGGCGGACAGGAGACTGGTTTTTCCACCACGACAACGCACCTGCTCCAGTCTTCTCAGTGCATCAGTTTGGGGAAAAAAACAGCATGTCTCCCTTGCCCCATTCACCTGATTCACCTGACCTCGCTCCTTTTGACTTCTTTTTGTTTCCATGAATGGAGCCAGACATGAAAGGACAGAGCTTTGAGGACATAGTAGGAGTGAAGAAAAAAACGCGGGAGGTGCTGTCAGCCATGCAAACAGATGAGTTGGAAAAATGTTTCCAAGAATGGAATCACAAATTTGACAAATGTATTAAGTATAATGGAGAGTACTTTGAAGATGATAAGGTTGTTTGCTTTTTAATTTAAAGACATCGTTTTGAAGAGGGGGAATTCCAGTTTGGGGGGGTACCCCCTCCTATATACATTGGGCTTCAAAAAATTTATGGCAACATGGACTGAAAAGCTAATTTTTTCCACAGACTCTTTGAAGACCCTTTATATTTCCAGCGTTTGGCTTCAGACAAGATGTGGCTTAATTTTTTACTGGAGGATTTTTGTTTAGTTTTATTTTGCTTTTTCGCTGAAAACTCATGAAGGCAGTGCCCACAGATGCAATATAGAACTGTGGAGTTGCAATTTAGACCGCGTGGGACAACTGATGTGAAAGGAAGCCACTGGAGTCCACGTTTCCCTAACAGAATTACTGCGTATAACATGTTTACGGGAATTGACAAGCTCCTATACTAAGCTTCAGTTGCGGTCCATGATTCTTGTTTAAATATCAATGCCTGGAGATGCAACAGCCAAAACACCAGCCTGCCTTACCCTTTCCAGTGCATTCATTCTATGTTTCTCAACAAACTTTATTATAGGTCTTGATTTTGTTTGTTTGCGCTTGGTACCCTACTTCTCATTTAATGAAAGAGGGCAAAGTGTTCATCGGCAGTGATTTGTGTGCTAAAGGAACCCTTGCACCAGTGTGGAGCTGGTCTTTCTTTCTGATTGACTAGCCTGATGGTTTCGTCTCTGTGTCCTGTTGCCGTTAATTGACTATATTGTTTTAGATTTATGCATTAAAAATACGATTTCGCCTTCAAAAGGATCACTTTGTTACTTTGTAGCTTTTAAGCTGATGCCACAAACTTATTTTTCTTCTAAGATAAAGTCGCATCTATAGATTTTTCAACTAATTACGTGTCTGCCAATAAATACTTAGAGGATACATTTTATTTCAATTTATTATTTGTGCTTACATAGTGTGTGCCTAGAAAGATCTGTGGACCTAGAGGTTTTAATGGTGTTTATTTTTCTACATTTTCATTGTCTCTTTCTCTGTTCCTTCCCACTCTTTCTTTTTTAATAGCTCCAGTCAGTCTGGTCAAGCATGACAGAAACTCAAACTCGGCAAACTTCCAAGACGCAGAGGACATGCCTGACAGATGTGTCTTGGAAGAGTCTGAGAGTCCAGGTGAAAGCCATTTAAAAATAGTCAAGTATAAAATGATAAATTTGACACCGCTTTGGGGTCCTTGGAAGGGGGTGGGGGAAGAGGACATTGTAATGCTGCTTTCTCTTAGCAGCTGCACTGTCAAATTAATGGTCACCTCCAGGGGTCACAGTGTGGCGCTGTTATCTTTTCCTCTTTCATCAAGAATTCAGTCCAAGGAAGTACAAAGGCTTTAGGACTGAGAAGGGAAGCTGACACGATTAGTTCATTATCATCCATTTTAGCCTAAACTGGTTAAGAGGGATGGAGATTCAAAACTGGAGAAATGGCAACGTGTTAAATATTTCACACGATGGGCGCGTCAAGGGAAGGTGAAGCGTTGGAGCAAAAACGAGAAGCCAGTCGTATTATCCCTGCGATTCTCCTTACCTTTCTAAAGACAAGCAGGACTCATGGAAACTGTGATGCGAGCGTCAGCATGACAGGAATGGATGCTGTCAGCTGTCTAGAACAAAACAAAAGAAAATCTAGCCGATGTCAATGTTGCTGATGTTTGTATTGTCTTTACAGAAAAAAAAAGAAAGAAAGAAATATGTTGGGTGACTCCTGTTAGAAACATTCAAGTGTGGGTTTGGGTGGCTGTTTTTCTTTTTCTTTTTAAAAAGGTGTCAGAGTTGAATAGCATCCTTGGAGTGTTGCAAAGCCACAGGGTTCTCAAAGATATCTTACTTCCAAGGATGAGTTAAACACCCCCCCTCTCATACCCTTAATATTTTCTCTTTCCTGCTTTCTCTGGTGCTGCGTCCCCTCTACCCTCCTGCATCTTTGTGTGCTTGCTCCATGGATCCTATTTTTGATTCATCCTCTCGGTGGCCTGTCAGCTTAGTGAAGAGATTTCCAAATCTTGTAGCCTTCACTGACAGGGGGCAGCTGCCAACAGTCCCCTGATCCTTCCCGGAGGAGAGCTACTGAGATTTAATTTTCAGTAAAAGGTGCAGCTTGCGATCTATGTCAGGTCCCCTAAGTCATCCTGGAACCCCACTAGGCCCAGTGGCAGTGGCACTGTATTTCAGTCCCCTCTACTCCACCAAGATTCCTCAAAAGATGCACTGCTACTGTGTGCCCCACTTCAGCCACCCGCCTGCTTGCTTGAACGTCCCATAGAACTGAAAAGTGGTATCTTTAGCAAGGGCAGGCATTTTTAACCAGCAAATTAACCATGCCCCACCAGATTATCAAAAGAAAACATAGGTCGGCCTCACTCTAAAAGAAAGAGGATATTGTTCCCGGTAAATGTCTCTCCGAAAACAAGATTTAACACTTATTTTTAGTTTTGACTAAAGTAGCCCAGTTTTCACTAGAATTTTCTGTTGTAAGTTTTATCTAGCAGTTAAATCAGGTGACTTTTTCGACAAGGAAAGGTTTGCTGTTTCTGGTCAGAATAGACCCAGTGTATACTCTTGTACCAGGAGAAAGAAAATTCAGGGATGCCCTCATCTGAGTGGGACTTCAGTGAGATTCCCATATGGTCTGCTCCCTCTGGTTGGGATAAACGAAAAGATCTCCTGAAAAATAAAGTATGATTAGAAAATATAGCTGCTCATAAAGAATCCTAACTTAGGAGGTGACTACTGTTGGGTACCTTGGACATCATTAAGCTGGTCATAAAGGATGCATTACTCGGGCTTTTTCCTTTGTCCATCCCTGCGTTTTAAGACATCTTGCCTTATCGGCCTCGAAACCTCTGGAGAGTTCACTACTGGTCTCACTGCCTTCCACTGAGAATTTGTGGCTTGGTTGTCATGGAGACATCGTATTTCTCCAAGAATTGCTCATATTGATCCGTGGCCAGGCGTAAATGGCCAGGCGAGTGTGAGGAATAAAGGGGGCTGGGCAGTACTCGAAAATGACCAGGGCTTGTGGGTTGGAAATAAGCTCATAGCAAACACTTAGGTAAAAAGAAAGAAGCAGTTTTATTTTGTTTCAGGCTTTCTTTCTGCACTTTGGGCATTGTCTACTTTCACGATGAACTGAAAGAAACTTGTTAGTCACTTGTCATGTCAGATCTCCGGTGCTCGTCCTGACACAGCTGTCAGCTCTCCGGCTCTGTGCGGTGCAGGGACACACAACAAAGAGGCAGCAGCATGAATTATTTATTGCTCCTTGTGTGGATAAAATTCTGTGATAAGAAATTAAGACACTTCTGACCGAGGGGCTTGCTTAGGAAGAACGATTTCGATGAGAAGGTGCTTTGCCTGGAACTATGAGCAGGCAAAACCTGTAAAACCCTGCCATGGCGAAGAGATGGGTTCTGCATTTCTTGCATGAATTTGGTGACATGAGATGTGAAGATATGACTGTCTACTTTTCAAAAGGAACTTCATTTGCGCTAAACATAAGCTCCAAAATAGCAAGGCATTCACACATAGGGTCTCAGGGACTGTAAACGTTATTTGGAATGTTCTATGTGTAAGCAGTGTATTTCTGGAAAGTACTAACCATCTGAGTTAAAAGGGAAAAACAAAACTTGAGGTTTCAAATGATGAGCTTTGGGACATTTTCTTCAAATGAGGAGAATTATTTTACTGGCTAATTCTATAATTAATGGCATGAATACATTCCTTACATAGAAAGAAGTGCATTTAAAGCTGAAAGCAGTATTCCGGCTCTTCTCACTTAGAAGCTGGTTGACCACTCACGTTAAAATTCCTTTTCACGTGCCCATCTACGTGCAAAATCTCTGTTATCGAGTTGAATGTGGTCAGTCTTCTAGCTTCAATGGATATTGACCTTACCTGGTTTTATATATGCAATGCTAAATGATTAATATATTTATTCCATCATTTTGAATGAATTGAGCACTTGCTTACACAGTTCATAGAAAATGGAAACCAAACAGGATCCTTTTCACATCTAAGCACAGCTCAGAAACGTCACCTTATATATTGTTCTTTCCAAATAACGCCTTTTCTTGGCAAGTCTTCTAAATAGTTGTTTCGACTCTTATACCTTCATATTGTTCGTTGCTCCTTTGCATCTGTAGAGAGCAAAAGGGAGAACAATGCACAGGAAAACTGATATGTATTTCTGATGGGATATTTTTTAAATGTTGACAGATAATTAGTTTTTAAATGCCATTAATAAATCACATTTTTGGAAAGTCTATAAAGGGCTGAGATCGAGTTTGTAAATTGATTGTCTTTAAATATAATGACTTTGGTACTCAGTATGTCGATTGCTTATTTTTACAAAGACATTGCCTTTTCTTCGGCACTGAATGGACTGTGGTGACCTATTTGTGAATGGGCTAGAGTCTGCATCGAGGTCATAGCTGAGATGCCTTGTGGCGTGCTGGTTCACCTGATCTCTAGAAGCACTCGGCCTTATTCATCATGCTACTGTGCACTCTGTACTGCAGGTTCAAACTGTATACCCAGGTGGGTGCTTGGAATCCATTAAGGTAGGCAAAGCAACTTCAGACCACAGCATTCCTGTGACTTTGACCCTGCTAGTGGGCCTTGAGCTCTTGTCTGAGAGGGGAAGATCTCCCTTAGCAGGGTCTTGTCTTTGGAATAATTCATTAGCACAGAGTTTTGACTCGCAGGTGAATCCCAGATTGAAGTTTCTGGCTGAGACTCTGTGAAGTCTACTTGCCTCTTTACTGGCATTGATACCTTCCTGCCACCTCTGGGAATACCTCTGGTAGCTAATAATAGCAGCACTGGGACACGCGTGAACTCGAAGCTCCCCTCCCCTTTTATGAGATTTTTAGGGGCATTAAGCTTTTGCTGTTGTTGTTTTTGACTCTTTAAACTGGTCATTATTTGAATCTGAAAGAAGCCATTACAAAAATAATTCGATTTTGTCTTTGGCCTGATATCTTCTTAATCATTTTCCATACCATGATTAAAGCTCTATCTCCATTTTCCAGAAGAAAAAGAAAAAGGGTTTCCATGCTCCTCACCTTTACACTAATATAGAAACTAAATGTAGTAAGGTATTCATTTTATATTCCAGTATTAATGAAATACCTTGAGATTTTAGTACCATGTTGGCTTAGAAAATTAATCATTTTACTACCTAGTGTGTTAAGGAGAGCTGAAAATAGCAATGACATGACAGAGCTTGAAAGTCCAGAAAACAATGCATTCAAATAAGAGTTTTTGCATTATTCTGGAGTAGTTTAAAATCAGTATACATTGTGCCATTAATAGAACATTTTAGTGGTTTTTATATAGCACAGTATGCGTGTAGATCTATATACATCATTGTCAATCGATACCACATTTGCATGAACCAGATGAACAAAACTGGCTTTCTCACTGTTTCCAGGGGCCACTGTCTTGTGGAAAGTCAAGATGTTTTATTTTGTTTTCCTTTGACTATTCTGGCTCATGAATCACCAGCAACCTCAGGTAACAGAAAGTAGGACAGATTCAGGACTGGAGTGTTGGAGATGGCTGATGATGATGCATGGAGCAGAAAAAGTGTGGGATGTGTGAGCAGCCCATCAATCATAGCCATCGAAAATACACTTCTTAGGGTTAGTGTGGTTTTGGTGTTTTGTTTTGTTTTTAATGTTCTGGAAGAAGTAAGAACGGTGTTAGTAAAAACACATATGTTTCTTCCCATTGTGTTTAACAATATCAATTTTTAAATTTTTTTCCAAAGGGAAGATTTTAAGCAACAAACTGACTATTCTTAGACTTAAAAACGTATATGACATTTTTTATATATGTGGCATACAATGCTGGCTAGATTAAATCAAGGAACAAGCTTTTAAAATGGTTATCAGTAGGAAAAGGAGCTACCACACATGGTCATTATCAACATAGTTGTGTTTTGAGATAGTTAATTATTGTTAACCTACAATTATAGCATTTCAAGTAATCTGAGAAATAAATACTTGTTTGAACCTATAACTCAAACCATATTTCTAACATTTATAAAATTTGACCCACAAATTTATCTACAATTTTGGGTCACTTTAAGAACAATTCAAAAAAAAAAAAAAAAGAACAATTCTACTGCTTGAAACATGTAAATTTACTAATTTCAAATGAACTACATGCTTGAAATTGAATATGCAGTGTTGAAATTTTCACTTGCATTGGCAATTTAAAAAAGGATCTATCTATATTAGTAATGTGCACAGTTAAAATGTATTTATATCGGATATTGGTGACCAGGGTATTTTAATTATATTATATTATCATGCTTCATTTGGGGATATATGTGTCCCATAGATATAATCAACATTATTGGCAATACTTACTTTCCTTCCCACCAATTTTCTGCGGGTTTATCCTACTGTCGTGGCTGGTATGTTGCTGTGAGCTGTGTCACTGGTGTTTCAGACATGACCAGGGTCACCCAAACTGAACGGGTTCCAGCAGAGCTGACAGACAAAACCCAGAGAAGGAATAGGCTGTCCACTGCACAGGAATGAGCAGTTGAAAACCCTGTGGATAGCCCTGAAACATTGTCAACTGCTGAAAACCTCATGTGTCCATTAGAAAGCAGAACATTCTCAGAGACAGTGCCAGAAAATGAGCCCTCAAAATATGACGGAGGAAGAGCTGCCTTCTCCAAGTAGAGTCTTTGGAGAAGGACATCATGCTTAATACCGTGGAAGGGCAGTGAAAAAGAGGCAGCCTTGGATGAGATGAATGAACAGCACTGCTGCCGCAATGGGCTCAAACACAAGAACCCCTGTGAGGAGAGTCCAGGGATGTTGGGTTCCATTGGCTTAGGGTTGTTGTGAATCAGAACTGACCTGAAGGCATCACAGAGCAGCAGCAACTTACCTTTCCACATGCTTTCCTTCCTTCCTTCTTTTTTCTCCCTCCCTCCATAGCTCCAACTCATTCTTCTTACTGACTTCTTTTTCAAATGTCAACATGTAACTCAAGATATCTATTTTCTCCCTAGGTAAAACAAAGCATCGTGCCTGGCTCGTGAAGGTGTGCTCCTGCAAAGTGTGCTAAATGGAATCGTATCTGCAGCACTGCATTCATGGAGATCGTCAGAAGTCGCCAGCTGTTCATCGGCTATGAGTTATGTTGTAGTGGTTACAGCAACAGACTGTAGAGGATTTGCTAATACATTTGCAAGACCACATTGAAGTGAGAGGTACCCAGATGCATCTGACTTTAGAGTAGCACTGTCTACATAATTCTATAGTCTGTTTTCCATTGTGTTAATATTTCCAGAATAACATCCTTCAGGCACATATTTAAAACTTTATAAAGATTTTCTTCCTTGTTTTCAATTATTGAGTTATATTTATCAAATAGCACTAAAACTAATTGTAATACATATTTTTAAATTTCATGTTGCTTCAATATATTTAACTCAAAATTTCATCAAATTTTGCTTGATCTGATAAGATAAAGATGTTTTGTTATAATAGATACTTTAATATGAATCAATCACTCTGCAGCACATCTCATCTCTAAGCATTAAATGTTGTCAACAAATTGTCAATTCTATTTAGTCGCCAATTAACCCAAATAGCAATGCCCAGTATAAGAGACCAACTTTATATCGTCTAGTTAATTTGAACTTCAAATGACATCCAGGCTAATATCTTAGCTAAATGTTGATTTATATTTTTTTGGCCATGTAAATTTGAGCTAGGGAAGAGGAATCTACAAATGGTACATCACAATTGATCTTTATAAAGTATAAACTCTTGTAGCTCTCTTCCCAGAAACATGACTAGCAGTAATTCTAAAATTAAAATATGCAAAACAGTATAAATAGAAACAGACATAAAGTGCTCATCTATCAAATAACGATTCATTTGCCAAGATTTATATTGCATGAGTCCTGAAATTATAGAAAATTATCAGAAAGATTATTAATGTGCATATATTATATATACGTAATTGGTCCATAGAAAAATGGAAAGGCATATGTATTATCTATATATATACATATAGTAAACATATGTATATGTATATGTATATGTATATATATATAGTTAAGTGTTGTTTAACGTCCATGATATGCTCTTTGAAATAAGTTGTTACGTGATTTGAAAACCATATTATATAAACATCCTTGAATTATAATCTGGTTCCATTCCTAAATCTGTCTTTATGTCAAGTTTGGATTTAAATCCTAACATTCACCTTTTGGCCTTAATATATAGTGTGCCTTTCTATGTATAATTAAAATTAAAGAAAAAATAAAAATAAAGTGCTAATAATATTACTGTTTTCATGCACATTGCAAAGTAGCACCCACTTAGTATTTTTAACCACTGTATGTACATTGAATTTTTAATGTAATAGACTTTATGGGGATTGGGGCCAGATGCATATGTGAACAGACATTGCCAAAATACACATTATAGGGTTCATGAGTGTATGTGTGTATGGGTATACGTGGGTTTGTGTGTGTATCTCAAATTGCTTCAACTCAGCAAGCTTCTTTTTAAAGCACCACCTTCATCCGTCACTTGGCTGGCGTAGAGGAGGCAGAGCAGTTAGGGCTACTGGAGGTAAGAGCTATTTGATGGAAATAACATTGTCTCCACCTTTAAGAAGTTTATAATTAATGATTGACTGGAACTTAATGTATAAGAATAAGGACATCAAATGAATGTGTCTTTTAAAGTGAATTAAAATGTATAGTCTTTCTAAAATGTGATGTCATTGCATGAAATTCCTTTTAAGAGTTGAATTTCAGAAATTATACGACACTTTCTATGAATAATTAGGGGAAATTGGGATTCTTGGAAAATAGACACATATGCATCATCGTTGGTTTTGAAACTACCCAAACCACTTGGAGCACGTTTCAAAATAAGGGAAGGTAACAGGTTAGGCAATGGACTCTTTTCGTGCATGCTGGGTACTGGTTCTGGATGCTAACATGTAAACAAACAAGCACCACAATCTCACTGCCACCTGTTTGGTTCCGAGTGATAGCAAGCCCACAGGACAGGGTCGAACTGCTCCCGTGAGCTTCCAGCACTGTAACTCTTGACCGAAGTAGAAAGTCCTGTCTTTCTCCCATGGAGCAGCTCGTGGTTTCGAAATGTCGACTTCAGTTAGCGGACCAACACATATTGCACTATGTAAAAGACTACCGAAATTATTTTGAATGATGACCGTGTGAAGTGAGTATATGCCGTATGAAAAGAACAATTATAGTACATGAATTTGTTTTTAAACACTAGTTGTGGTAAATGAATTAAAAATATAGATGAAGTGCCACTATTTTAAATCTATTTCTTACTGTTGTCCATTCAAATAAAAATAGAATTAAGAGGGAACAGTTTCCATAATTAGTACTTTTATTTAGGTCCAGTAAAAGCAATATTATATCCTTAATAGATTTTTATCTGATGCAACTAGCTATGGTAAATTAGATGGGAATATCTCTGTCATTAATAAATTGAAGTTTATGGATGCATGTGTGGATTGTGATGAGTTGTAAGAGCACCAATAAAATGATTTTTTTAAATAATACATAAATAAAGTTTAAAAGTTTTGTTAGCAATCTGTTTTATTTAGTTGGAATATTGAAATGATTTTTAAATTATTTTGATGTAAACATCTTTTGTCAACTCAAGTTATTTAGACACTACTATCAAAACATCTAATTGATAAAATTGAGATGTTTAATGCAAGAGTCCCTAATTTCCTTGTGCTAGTGTATTAATGACACAAATTTGCTAGTTTGTTTAAAAATTATTTCTCTTGTTTATACTGACTTATTTTCAACATATTTCAGTCACTGATGTTGCAAGTATGAGAAAAACTCTTATGTTAGTGAAAGTGTTTGTATCCAGGGATTTCATGGTCATCAGATTAAATAACGTGTTGAAAATTGATCTTTTGTTTCTTTTCTGTAGTAATTATCTTGGTGATATTTATGATAGAGAGAGGTGAATAGAAAAATGGATGGATGGATGGATGGATGGATACATGTTGTTATTAAGCACCATTGATTCTGACTCACAGCAATCCTATACTGTACACAGCAAAACAACTCTGCCCAGTACTGTGCCATCCTCACAATAATTGTTATATTTTAAAGCATTGTTGTGGCCACTGTGTTAATCCATCTCCTTGTCAGGGGGCTCACCATTTTCCTGACCTTCTACTTTACCAACCATGTCCTATGCCGGTACTGTTCGTTCCTGATTACATGTCAAAAATAACTGAGATGAAGTTTCCTTATCCTTACTTCTAAGGAGCAGTCTGGTTGTATTTCTTCTGAGACAGATTTGTTTGTTCTTCTGGCAATCCATGGTGCTTCCTATCTTTTTTGTCAATACCATAATTTAAATAATTCAGTTCTTCCGTCTTCCTTATTCATTTTCCAGTATTTACATGTGTATGAGCCAATATCATGGCTTTGGTCAGGTGGACTTACTTAGTCTTCAAAGTGACATCCTTGCTCGTTCACACTCTAAAGACGTCTTTTGTAGCAGACTCGACCAATATAATACATCATTTGATTTCTGGACTGCTGCTTCCATGAACATGGACTGTGAATTCAAGCAAAATGAAGTCCATGACAGCTTCTGCGTTTCCTCTATTTATCAGGATCTTTTCTATTGGTCCAGCTGTGAGGATTTGGGTTTTCTTTACTGTGGGTTGTAATTCACACTGAAGGCTGTTGTCCTTAACTTTCTTTAGCAAGTGTTTCAATCCTTCTCACTTTTAGCAAACCAAATTGTATCACCTGCATATTTCAGGTTACTAAGCCTTCCTTCGATCCTTCCTTAATAAATTCTTCTTCATCAGTCCAGTTTCTCAGGTTATTTGCTCAGCGTACAGATTGAATCAGTATGCAGAAAGGATACAACTTTAAGGTGCGCAATTCCTGATTTTAAACCATGCAATATTCCCTTTTATATTTGTATAGCTACTTCTCATTTCATATACAACTTCTACACACACACAATGAGAATTCTGGAATTCTTGTCCTTCTCAACGTTATCCATAGTTTGTTATGATCCACAGTCAAAAAGCTGCATAGTCAATGGAACAAAGTAAACATCTTTTTGGTATTCTCTGCAGACATTTAAAATTATCTATAGCAAAATTTTACCTACATGTGTTACAAATAATGTGGTTATATAAGATCCACATTCCATTGGGTTACCTTTCTTTGTAATGAGCACAAGCATGGATCTCCTCTAATTGACTGGCCTTAACAAACTCCTCTAACAAACTTTTTGGAAGAGACAAGTAAGTGCATCCAGTGCTTCATCAGCTCAATGAAATATCTAAATTCATATTCTATCGATTCCTGGAACTTTGTTTTTGGCTAATGCCGTCAGTGCAGTTTGAGCTTATTCCTTTAATACCATTTATTCTTGATTATGTGCTACCTCTTAAACCGGCTGGATTTTGATTCGTTGTTTCTGGTACCTTAGCTTTATGTATTCTTTTTATGGCTGCATCATTCCATATTGTGTCCACGGTACCCTTCAATATTGCAGCCTGAGGATTGAAATGTCTCTTCAGTTCTTTCAACATGCTATATGTTGAGTGTATTCTTCCTTTGGGTTTTCTAACTCCAGGTCTGTGCACATTATAATACTTCACAAGATTTCTAGTTCTTTTGTTCTTTTGTCTTGCGTAGAGGCCCAAAGTCTGTCTGCTATCTGAAATTTAACACATAAATATATGTACAATTGACCTCTATGCCTATTAATATATTTATATATAGACATGCCTATACCTAGACCTCTATAAATAGCCTTTGCCTCCTAGCTCTTTCGTCTATTTCCTTTCACCTCCCTCCTGTCCCACTATCATGCCCCACCCTTCCTTAGGCTCTCAGTAATTCCTCTCAAATACATTGCACTTGGTCAAACCCAAACAGGCATTCTACGCCCTCCTCTTGCTGTCAATTTCAGAACTCTTGTTGTTCCCTTGTCCCTGAGTTTGTTGGCTCCCCACACCCCTCCCGCCCCCTCCTCTCCCATGGTCCCCTGGAACCCCCAATCCCATTGTTTTCTCCTTGGGTTTGTTTGCCCTGCCCGTCTTATATAGATATAGTGTGAAAGCAGAAGGGGATAAAAGCCGATAGATAGTTCCAGGTCTGTCTGCGGACACTTATGAATGTTTTCCAATCGGGTCTGATGAAGGCCAAGCCCCGCCCCGCGAGTCAGAAGTCTATGTTCAGGATTCCTCGGGGACTTGGTGACTTTGCTCTCCGCTGTGCATGGGGCAGACCCCGCACGCTTGCCACACAGTGTCTCCAGTGCTGTCCTCTGTAGCGCTACAAGTCAGTGAGGGGATGTCCTGTCAAGTAGTTGGGCCAG